GTTTATTGTGATCGAGACTAGCTTTATGGACAATGCCTAGAAATTGTGTAAATAGTTCGACCAGTTTTTGTCATGTGTGCGGTGAGCAAACTTTTAAATCCCAAAAACCTACTTTTACTCCCGTTGTGTTAGCATACGAACTTTATTTTGGAATTAAATTTGGCGACCAAGATAAACTAAGGGTCCCTATGGGTAACGCTGTTAACAGGTTGGTTAAGAGGCGACAATCGTAAATGCCCTTTGCGGTACCAATGATTTGGAGAGAACCGAGAGACCATTCTACTGATTGCTATTTTTGCCTCACAAATATTAAAGGTTTTGGACCAAAATCGAAACATACTGTTAAATATTTTAATTTACCATCAGCTTTGCGGCCCGTTAAGCATAGTGATGAACTTTCTGTCCCAGTTCCACCAGAAGCTTGGTCTTTGGATGAAAAAGTCGAATCCACCGATTTTGAAAGTGATTTCCGATCCTTCCTTTGACCTGCCAGGATGTTCAACAGGACGCATTTGATCACACAGGGCGAACTTTTAATGACTTAGTTCCAGAATTAAATCAGTCAATTTCCCAGTCAGAACTTTTAGCGTCAAGATTAAAAGGATGGAATCTTCTCCATGGTGATGTGAACATTATTTTTTACCGAAAAGGAAACAAGACCCCACATACCGTAATTCCGTCAAGAAAGGGAGTTGATTTATTGATCCGAAGTCAACAATTTGTTTGACGCGTTTGGACAGAAAATTTGACCTAAAGGCTAAGATCCTTCGGACCGCCTTGAGAAGCAACGACGAGTAGTAGGACATGATCCAATAAAGTTGTTTTTTGTTTCTGTCAAAATTTTCGATTGAATCCAAAAAAATACGTTTTCCCATTCTTTGTCGTAAAATAATAAGTAAATGTTCTGAATACCCCCTTGAACAACTTGCACCAGTACAACCAGACTCTACAATTATTTCGGGAAAATTTGCTAGTATGATTAGAATATATGACCACAAAGTATATCCCCTTCAAAATTTACCCTTTCCCTGCTCTTCTGGTACTTACCGACGATGGAAGGTTGTTCCTTTTCACATTCTGCGGGGCATCCCTGCAGCGAATTATCTCTCGTTTCGCACAACATCCGTATGTTTTTGGCGCTTCAGTACGGATACATATATAAGCGGCACGGGTATTACGAAACTTGAAATGTGACATTATTCCGACTTTTTTGACATTATGTAGGTTTTCGTACAATACGTCAACTTGGGACAAGTTGTTATTTACTTTACGCTTACTTGTAGCTTGCGCGGAATAAACTATTTGCATTTTAGCTTACTTAGTCAACAAGTTGACATCTTATCGTTTTCCTTCGGACATTTTTTTTACCTTATCACCCTGCTGGACTGGTTTTCCAGGTGGTGCGTAGATACGTGGATAAAAAACATGTCACTATTATTCTAAGTTTTACAAGCAACTATTAGAGATTTTAGCGTATGAATATACTTGAATAAAAAATAAACATTTAACATCCTCCACCGATACAATCCCCAAATTGCAAACCTTATAAAAAAAATTCTGAAAACGCGCCTTCAAAACATCAAAAAACGAAGTTTGTGCGATTTTGTTTGCCTTTTACTCCGCCGCTACTGAACCGATTTTTACTAGTACAACTGCAAAGCTGTTGAGTACTTGGCATAGTAGTAACATTATGTGAAAATTTCATGGCGGTACTTCCCAAGTTATAGGCGGTTATCAGATTAGCGGACAGACATAACGACGGAAATGAGTGATATGAATCAAGTCGAAGCGAATAACCAAAATTTCTGCATTATGTACCGCGGTTATGAAATGGTTTAAGATGACACACGGGTTGATGACGTCAGTTACTCGAATCGCTTGAACGTGTTGGTTTTAACCACGGTTTTGTTGCGAGTTGTTTATTTTAGAAAAGCGCGTATATAATTTCTGATTTTTTTTATCATCACCTAATAATTGGTGCTTTTTCGGCTACAAAAGTGTATGAAAAGCTTAAAAATGAAACCTTTCATAATAATAATGGGGAAATGTTTTTTTTAGATAATAATTTTTAATGATAGAACCATGGCTTTGCAGGTTTGATAACTTTCAATTCTCTTAGCGTTTCCGCATGTCAAAGAAAACATTTATTGATTTAGCAGAAATGATAGGAAAAAGCGATGAAAAAAGATATTAGCAAAACCGAATACAGGTGTACATTATCGAGTGAGTTTGTAAGGCCATATTTTAATATTCTTGTGGTACGAGGGATGTCTTTTAAGTTTTGCATATAGAAACATAGTCGGCCGCGCGGATCGAACGTCAGTACTGAATCTTAACCTCACTCTTTAGTAAACTTAAATTCAAAGTTTCACAACAATACGTGCAGTGCAGTGTTCTCACTACAGTGAATTTTTAAGTGTCACTAAGTCACTAGAAAAATGGAACTCAACCGAGAACATTTTCGCGCCATAATTTATTACATCTGTCAGAGACAATTATTGCAACAGTAATGCCTTGCTGGGTTACTGTCTATTTTCGGCAACCAAGCGCCACATCAGTCGACAATTTCCCGTTGGTATGGAGAATTCAAACGTGGACGGGTGAGTCTTAGCGACGATCCCATTGTGGGTGCACCAAAAACGGCAGTCACCCAGACAAACGTCGATGCTGTGCGCAAACTGATCATTCAAGATAGACATGTGACATATCGCGAGATTGAGACATCCTTGAAGATCTCAGAGACATCAATTCAAAAAATTTTACATGAAGAAGGAGTAAGAAAATTAGTTTCTCGTTGGATACCCCACCTGTTGACTGAAGAGCAGAAAGCAGCCAGGGTCAATTGGTGTCAAAAAAGGCTTGACCGATTCAATACCGGAAACTCAAAAAATGTGTACAGCATTGTTAGTGGTGGTGAATCGTAGATTTACTGTTACGAACCAGAAAATAAACGACAGTCGGCTGTTTGGGTGTTCCAAGGTGAAGAAAAGCCAACAAAAGTCATCCGTTCTCGAAGTGTTTCGAAAAAGATGGTCGCGACATTTGTGTAAAAGCGGGTCATATTGCAACAATTACTCTTAATTAGCAAAGAACTGTTACTGCCGATTAGTATACCACCATTTGTTTGCCAAAAGTCATCACCGAGCTTTGAAAAATCGACCCCGAAAGAAGAATCATCCTCCTCCAAGACAATGCAAGCTCGCATACAGCCCAAAAAACAAGGCAGTTTTTAACGGAAGAAAACGTGGAATTATTGGACCATCCTCCATATAGTCCCGATCTAAGTCCTAACGATTAATTTACTTTCCCGAAAATTAAAAACAGACTGCGTGGTCAAAGGTTCCAGTCATCAGAAGAAGCAGTTGACGCATTCAGAAATGCCGTTTTGGATCTGCCAGCTAACGAGTGGCATAAGTGCTTCAAAAATTGGTTGGAGCGCATGCAGATGTGTATTAATTTTCGTGGAGAATACTTCGAAAAACAATAAAGTCATTTAAAACTTCCTACCGTGTTATTTCCATATGCAAAACTTAAAAGACATCCCTCGTATATGGCTACACATGATACTTTGTTAAGCATTAGAACTAGATTTGAAGTGTCCCCAACAACAGTAATGAGTATAACTAATAAGGAGCTCTACTTTATGCTACAACTGATGTCAGCTTGTATCAAGTTTTCGAAAAATGAAGCTGAAGTACAAATAAAATATCCAATACCCGTCAAAATTCTAACTTGTCACATTTCAAATAATAACCAGAAATATGAAACTGCTCCTGAGTTGGGTGAATACCACAATTTTGCGGCGATAACTATAACATATAATAACTGATTCATGACGTCACGGATCTTACAACCAAACTGATAACCACAGTCGCTTGAACGGCATGGGTATCATGTAAAAACTTAAAAAAACGTCAAAAAAACCTATAAGATGTCATCTCGCAAACTGGGTTGTTTTTAGGGCGCAAACAGTCATTCCCCATTTGCTCACTACCACGTGTGAAAATGATTTTTCCAGACTTTGTAGTTTGATAAAAATTAATTTCTCAGCAATATCTACATGAGGCAAGATCTCATACGTCATTAACAATTCAATTTCATTGCAAAATTCCGTTTGAACAGGGCCCATTTTTGGCATGGCTATCATGTAAAAAACCTATAAGACGCCAAAAAAAAAAAAAATATAAGAAGTCATCTTGCAAACTAGGTAGTTTTTAGGGCGCAAACAGTCATTCCACGTCTGCTCACTAGGATCGTTGTGAACCTCCATCTAAGGAGGAAACACTCAACTAAACTACACGCATTATTGGTTGCATATGTTTTGTAAGGCCAAATGGTCCTTGTCTCTAGTTTTTATCTCTGAGAAGAAAGTTGATTGAATAGCAAGATCGCATCTGGATGATTATGTGCATTGGTCTGCATGTGTGAGAAAATCATTACTGAATATACTGCCAATGAAGTATATCTATTGGCTGTGCCCGACGGCTTATTTTTATGTTGTGCTTTCTGAAGAGAGGTTATGTTCAAAGTTATAAATTACGAAAAACGGAGGAGAATTACGGGAAATCATCACCGCGCCCGCGATGTGTGTAATTACTGTTAGCATATATATGGCTTGTAATTCGACAATGTACAGTGAATATAGTCATTTCTTATCTCTCTCATTTTTGAAATTAAGCAAATTTGTATATGTAATTCCCAGAATGGATACAAAAAGTGGATGCGCAACTAATTTCTAGCTTTGAATTTTAATTATGTTTATTTGAGGCAAGAACCCAATGTAATTATCATCAACACATACAACTGACAGCTTAGACCTCCAGTAATGCCATCTCAGAAGCAGATTTTGCATCACATCAGAGCCAAAGACTGATAACAAGCCTCATGACGTTTACGCAACCCGTACAACTAAGTGCTAAGTTAATATCTTGTAGAAAAACCTACATAATGTTAAAAAAAAATCGGCAAAATGTCACTTTTCAAGATACGTGATACCCATGCGGTTCGGTAAATACCAATGCAAAACGGTAAATACTATTTTCATTTGGTTATTCGCTTGAATTTGATTATGGTCTTTCGTGATGTACATGTCATATGGCATCCAGAAAATATATGTCATTTTCTAAATTTTTCAAGATTACAATACTTGTTCGCCAGTCGACGTGCAAATTAACATGAATATGGAGATTCAGCGGCAGGTATGCGCATGTTTGATGTGTCTGCAAGCACCCTAGCATCAATTCCATCAAATTCCTATTTCGGACGAATATCAGAAATCCGAGCCGCGATGAAAACAAAAGCTGCGCTGTGATGCCAGCCGGCAAAGCTTTAGTGGTTGTATAATCCGAGTAGGCCTCAGCAATTACGCTGAAACAGCTGAAGAGCGGCAGCAAGAACGGGCCTATACGACCATACCGTACAATCGCCAAAGGTTGCTGCCGATTTCCATTAATTTAATCATCGTTTTGTGGCAGCAGCGCCATTGCTGGCCGCCGACGGCTCCCGTTTCTCTATTTGCTAGAAATTTCAGCCGAAACGATGGACGTACACTGCGAAAAAGCATGATAACCTAATGTGAAAACCTCCTATTATCTCCCAGACTGGCTCACTTTCTGTCCTGCTACATTTGATGGATTCTCCTTATTCTCACACTGACGTTCCCAGAAATTAGTTTTGGTACCAACACTGTTTTTGTTACGCATAAGGGCGATTTATGCACAATAAATCTGCCTTACAGCATCGTGAATAAGAGCCACCAATGTAGGTTCAGTTTTTTACCTCTATATTTATGAAGTCACTATTTACACCTATAAAGATTCAAAAATAACTATAATGATTGTCTTAGTGCCGATTTCACCAACATTATTATTCTGGACCAATAGGAAAATACCTTATCGAAATGCAATTTGACGGAAGCCTTCAAAGGTCTCAGAATATCAGTGATTTCTATTAAAATGTTGAATAAAATCGTGAAAATTCGACTGTATTATAAACAAGACCACTTTCTGATTCCAACATGATGCTTTTGTACAGAGAAAACAGGACAACTTCCATGTATTTTGATTTATGTTATAGGTGTACATTTGACCATCCGTTATCCCCTCAGCGAATGGGAATGGGAGCAATAATAGCTCGATTTTGTAGCTGTTAAATTTGGCAGCAGGTTTGGTCGTTTGTTAATTCATGGCAATCTCGAAATTTGTTGTTCAATATACTGTGTGTATCATTATAGCTACACATACCTGTTGAATTGTGCGGATTTGCAAGAAAATAGAATATAAAATGTATTCCAACAATTCCTCATCTCCCTTTACATCATAATAGTAATCATTTGTTATAAATTCATGGGTTAATGAATTTCTTCAAAGCAATCAAAACAGTATGTTGTCCCCATCCTAAAACACCGATATGTGTAAAACATGTTAATCCCTACATCTCCGAGGTGCATAATGCAATAACTGTAGACATAGACCTAAAATTATTAGTAATTACTGAAAAATAAAAGCTAAAAAGAATTATAAATAGATAAAATATTGGAGGTTAAGGTTTTTGACTGGTGACTGGTGGGGATACAATATAGGGATGTATCGAAAACATCGATACATCGGACGTCGAACATCAATCTTTACGCATCGATGGTTTCATGACGATATATCGATATCGAGAGGAATCATAAACATCCGTAACCGTATATCCCGAGTCTATCCTTAACTGTGCTACCAGCGAGGACTGGTAGCTTCGAAATTGAAAGGCCAGAAAGCTATTTAGGTGTTTAGTAGTATTTGAATATTATCATTACAGACGAGCACTGAGCCACTGAGTGGCCACTGAGCACTGTAGTCTTTTCTTCATTCTGTATGTCCCCAAGGGATATAATAAAATAGACTGAAAACAGCGCATTTAATGATTTTCAGTTCTCAGAGAAAGATTTTCCCCTGCCGGCCCTTGACATCGTTTCGAAATACGCGACACGACATGAGAGTTGTTTAATATTGTTATGGGAGCAACTTTAGGATCAAAGATATTAAATAAAGTAGAGTATTTTAAACACAAAAACTGCGCTAGTTTTATCAGAAGAAAACACTATATCTCTGAGCCACAGAAGCAAAGCGAATCTCAGGCTTTCGATTCTCTCATCACTAGTGTGATGAAATGACAATTTGCCCCTTTTTGGATTACTTGAAAAAGTTATGTGCTTTCCAGTTCGTTTCATTAAGTTGCGTTCAGTTCTAGGAACTAGTTCGTGAACCAACTACTTTATGCAACAATACCACAAAAACTATATATACAGAAAGAGAGCAGATATTCCAGTCTTTCAGTCGAGATAACGTAAAAACGATTCAATTCATATTTTTTAACCGTTCCAATACATTCCACTGATCTCAAATGTATTCTCCCATCACTAACATTATGAGACACTAATTTCAAATGTCAATTCCGATCTCCTTTGGTCTATTCTCCTTCTCGAACGTCACTGTATTCTATGTTTTGTGATCACTTGTTTTGTTATATGTGAGAAATGGAATTTTTTAACAACAAATTTCCGTATAAAAGTGCCCCCTCTAAGATTTTTTTGTGAAGAAATACATATTACACTGTCGTGTACACGTTAAATCTGCAAGAACCCCTAAATAAGTGGTTATGTTGAATGTACCATCACCGATGGTGCGACTGATTATACACTGAAATTAAAACAAAAAACTGCAACTGCAATTGTATGTATGAATGTTGAAACTGTTGAACAGTTTCGGACCAGTGGGGTTAAAATATCGTTGAGGAACTGGAAAGAAGTGTATGAATGTGTTGAAATGCAACACCTAACAAAAATTTGAGTGAAAAGGCTTGTTCATGTAAGGGTTTGGAAGTGCAAGTTTGCAAATATAGGATAAACTATAAGCACACAGTAGGTGATATAATCACATATGGATTACAAAAGTTTCAGTAAACATGGAAAAACCTTCAGCTAATCTGAAAAAATAGATTTTACTCAGACATCAATCATTATTAAAAATGTTGGCTCAGTTTTACATAATTTCATAATATTTAATAAACTGAAAAGATTTCAATGGCAAGCTGTCACTTCATATTTTACAGTGTTTTGTTTTGAATACTTTGATGCTATTTGCTGCCAAAAATTTGACGGAGAGATCTTGAGGCTGATTGGGTATATTTAACGGACTGTTTGGTACTCGTACCCTATTGGTCTGCAATAATGGTTTGTTAAATTGTGAAATCCACCCTTAGGAATACAAAGTATAAAAATAATCTGCACATCCCTCTAGCAAGGCTAAATCAGTTACATATAATGCTCAAACCTACGTATAGGAGTGAGAGTTTATAATCACCTACCGAGTTCAGTTAGAGATAGCATGACAATACAACTTTTCGGGAGATGTCTTACGGATTTTTTTGTTCTTTCATTTGTATTGATGATTTTTTTCAGGACAAATTACAAACATGTGCATAACTATCGGTTCTTTTCACTATGACTGTTTCTTTTGTGCTTCTTGTTTTATGACATTTCTTTGTTGATTTGTGCTAATGCTACTTTATTGTTTTGTATTCTTGTTTTGTGTGTCAGTCTCCTACATTACTATACAGTCAAGTGGAAAATAAAGTTGAATCGGAATCTGAGTACTTTGCGGGCTGGTAACATGTGCCGCCATATTGCCAGGAATTTGTAGCCCGCAGGCTGTTGCAGCAGAAGCGGTATTTTGTGGTCCCGGCATATTTGTATAGAAAAAATATTTCAGATATAGCTGATAACGTGATGTGCGCTAGTTGCGCAACATATACTGAGTGACAAAAAAGGTAAGCACCTACTTATGTTTATTAGAATTCAAGAATTCTTTACATATCGATTTATCTTGTCATGAAGAACAACTATCGATAAGAGAAGTTTCTATTAGGACCAACAGATTCTTACGGAGTATATTGCAGTATGAACGAGCGTGGGAGCAGCGAGCAAGCGGTTCTGGACGTCCCAGAGGAACTACAGAGCGACAAGACCGCCGGTGAAGACTTCTGTCTCTGAGAGACAGATTCAGTAGTACTCCCCGCCATGAACAACAAGAGATAAACTGGTCAGGTTTCTCTGTAAGTTTTTGTGGTGGCTGCGTGTATTTACGGTGTCAGTTATGTTAAATTTCGTGTAGCTTATTGAAAAGCTCTTTTGTGATTGCTCAAAATGCCTAGAGTGTGTAAGGGTTCATCAAGACAATGCCAGACCGCATATTGCCAGAGCATCGTTAGCCTTCATAGATCAACATCGCATCAACCGCTCACCTTTCCCACCACGATCATCTGACCTATCTTCAATTGAACATGTCCGAGACATGATAGGTCGCAGGCTCTTGAATTTGCAACACCCTCCACAAACTTTAGCAGTTTACCAGTTCTTACTCACGAAATTGCAGTAGCTTGGAATGAGATACCCCAACAGGATATCGACCACTTTATCAGCACGATGCCCAGGCGTGTCAATGAGTGGATAAGAAATCGTGGATCGTCAACACATTATTGAACCAGCTTCTGCAGTCAGCTGATGAATCAAGCTGAAAATTTAATCATTTTACTAGTAAGAGACACTAAACATATAATAAGTGACATATAAATCCGAACACCCAGTTTAAATGGTTTTATTTTAATAAAAGTTGGTGAATGTATTTATCTTACTGTAAATAACAAGTGAAAAAATTTTCAGCCTTATCAGTTGGACATTCCTGTTTTTATACTGCTTTTTTTTAATTCACTAACGCTCTAAAAATGAATATTTCAGCCGCAGTAAAGAATCAACGTTGGCGGATTTTGGTTCTTGACATCCTTTACTATCGGTTACGATCCTAGAGTACGGAGACCTGTACGATTTCGTCAACTTAGTGAGTTTGATAGGGGCCGTATAGTGGGACTTCGGGAAGCTGGACTTTCTTTTCGGGCAATTGCAGTTAGAGTGCAAAGAAGTGTAGACACTGTGGTTAGGTGTTGTCAGGCATGGCTTCGAGAAGGCCGTACGCAAAGAGCAAGGGGCACTGGACGCCGCCGTAGAACAACAGACCGTGAAGATCGCCG